CTTCCCCCTCCTGGGAGGATGCCAAGGACCCATTTCCAGAGGCTTTTGTTTATATTCTCCGGGGGTTCAGGGAAAAGCCAGAGCAGGGGGGTTGCTTGTTTGAATCGTGTACATAATAAAACAAGGCTGTTTAAATAAAGAAATGGCTTACAAAGAACAACAACACAAAAGGCTTACATAGGTAAGTCCAGCCCAGGTAAAGTTAGGCTTCCCCTGATGTGTAGAAGCTGACAGACAGGAGGCAGGATAAGGAACAGGAGACAGTGGAGAGCACAAGCTAGTGGAGGCAGAGGTCCAAAGTCAGCCAAAGGAATCCATTGTTGGTGTTCGGCCACCTACTCCGGAGATTGGCAGGCGATGCACCAGGAGGCCAAGGAACCAGATGCAAGATCCAGCTCTGGAAGAAGGTGAAAGGCCAAAGAGGATTTGGTTCATCTGGGTCACTGCCTTTTATACAAAAAGACTATGACATCCAGGAGGTGTCCTGGGGATAAGATCCAATGGGTAGGAGTAACTCTGCCTTGACCCAGGAGTGTCCACTTGACCTAATCCCTAACCATCACATCCTTCCAAGGAGAAATCTACACTCTTTGATTTATACTCTTAAGCCCACAATTTTGGGATCCTTAAAGAGAATCAAATGATGTTCCTTTTAAAATTTTGTTAAGTTTACAGAACAAGAAGTCTGAATCAGCATATCAGGACTATAGAGTGGAGTGATAAGAATTTCAATGAAAATTTCCTAAAACAGTCCTTGCTTACTAACTTCGAAGAATCAGCAGGTGCATTGTCACAATGGAGAAAAAAACCAAAAAAAGTTGTGCAACATTTTCTCACAATGTAGTTTCCCTGTAGTAGAAGAAAATTATATGGGATGGTGTCTGACCTCCTCTGGCACCCACATCTGATCGGCACAAGGCAGAATCTACCCTCAAATCCTTTTTACTCTATTCTGACACCAGCTATCTCTCCCATGGCACTCTACTTCTGTGGCTGGGCTCAGTAATTCATTGCCATGGCCACAGCCAACTCACAGACAATACTCATGATTATGGGGTTTCCTGAGGAAGTTAAGTGGTTACAATTGGCGTGAAAAATTCTCGGGATACAACTGGTCAGCCAAGACAATCTCTTTTCTGGTGTGTCCTCAGTCAGGCTTCTTTCTGGCTCTCAGCCTCATGGCCTAGACTCTGCCCTACTTGTGTCATGCTACAAAGCTCTTTTAGGGATGCTAACCAATGCCCAAAGGGCCTACCACTCTGATACAAGCTTCAGCCAGAAGGCACCCAACTCCAGCTGTATGGGCCAGAAAACCCTGTACCTCAGGCTCCTGTACTCCAGGGACCCCAAAGCCAGCCTCCTGTTCCAAAGTTTTACTTGCTCTGTGGGCTAGGAACTGTAGTACTGTCTCACGGCATAGTTCTGGCTACTGGTTCTGGTGTTGCTTCTCCTGGAACAAGGGAATTGAATGCACAAGAATCTTGGGGCCCAAAGGACATGCTTCACTCTTTGAGCATGGCTTTTGCTGGTAGTGAGATCCCTCACTCCTGTTTCTGAGGTGGCTGATTTTCTACTCAGTATGATGGCAATCACAATTAATTGTTAAAAAGCACTGTGTTAGTCCGGGTTCACTAGAGAAACAAATTCATTGACCCTCACATATGTATAAGAGAGAATTTTATATCAAGAAGTAATTATGCATCAATAAAACACCCCAGCCCAGTCCAGATCAGGTCCATAAGTCTGATATTAGCCCATAAGTCCAATATTAGCCCAAGAATTCCTTTTCAGACTCACATAGCACATGCAATGATGTTGAATGCAGGAAGATCACTGGCTGGTGGGTGGAATGCCCTGTGGATCCAATGGCAATAGACACATCTCCAGAGCTCTACCTGACATTAGCATGGCTCCATGTGGCTTGTCAGCAGGAAGACCAACGCAGAGAGAGAAAGTATCCTGCTTCCAGGGAGGAGGAGATGAAGGTCCCAGAATCCGAATGAGAAAGTTACATCCAGCAGGAGACACAGTCAGA